TTGGTACTATAGTTTTGTTACGCGATGAAAATGTAGCGTCATTGAATTGGAAGTTGGGTCGCGTACTAGCGGTACAGCATGGTAAAGATGGTGTTATACGTTCTGCGACAATTAAGACTACAAACGGTGAAACTAATAGAGCTGTACGACAATTATGTCCGTTACCTTTTGAGGGCAATCAAACAATGAGTTAAATTGCTTCAATGATTCATACTGTTAAAATTAAACATTTTTTGATTATTTATTTGTTAATTTATTTATATTTATTTTGTATAGATAAATTATGAGAGTCCAATTGTGTGTTTTTTCGATGGTTATTGTCGAATATTAATTGTTAAATCTATTTGATAAGTTTTATTCCTTTGGTTTATTTATAGTATTTTGTAATATTTTGTTTTTTTTGTTTATTTGATTTGTTTAATAATCTTTAATTTAAAACAGTGTTTTAAGGCACCCGCTATATTAAGTCCTATGTAACTATCGTTATCAACATGTACGTGGACGGTCGTTGACCACCACTTTTACTTAAGTCAGTCGGCGGCGTGCCTTCTTATCGTATAGTTGTAATTAAAACGAATAAAAATTGATATATTAACGTACAAAGTGTTACTTAAAATTTAAATATAATAAAACCCAAAGAATCTGTTCAACCAGAAAAAAGACATACAGTCCACAACATGGTCCTTCGGCCACGGATTTTTGGTTAATAATTAACGAAAAATTTAAATTTTAAGTGCGAAAATAATAAATACGTAATATAGTGCAACGTGTCATTTGGATTACCAAAAGTTTACCCTTTCAAGAAAGTGGATAAAATTCAAAAGGCCAGTCGAAAGGTAGAAAAATTAAAATATATTCCTTTTATTAATAAATTTATTCCAAAATTTGTAATTAAAACGAATAAAAATTGATATATTAACGTACAAAGTGTTACTTAAAATTTAAATATAATAAAACCCAAAAAATCTGTTCAACCAGAAAAAAGACATACAGTCCACAACAGATAAATTTATCATTTTTTATTGCCATAACTGAATTTTAATATGATGTTATTTTTTTTTATATTTATTTTTTTTAATTAGAATGGAATCTATTTTAATTAGAATTATGGACTTCATTACATAATAGAAATCTAATTCTCCCGGTACACAAATGTTGTACCTGACTTTTTAATGTTTACACAGTTTATAATAAATTATATACTATATAAATTTGTGTATTTCAAAATTCATTAACACAAAAAAACAATTTGATTTATAAACACGTGCATTAGCTTCTATATACAACGTATAGAAAATCTATTAGTTTAAACAAATTGATTTCACGTACATGTGATTTGTTTTGTACACTTCACATATATTTTATGTAACTTAAAAATAACTATGAATAATCTTAAGATTA